CAGGAGAAGAGGGGAGGGTAGGGCTAGTGTGTGATGAGCACGCCCTCCCCACCCCACCTCCGTGCCAGACACCTTGCCAGGCATTTAGCATTTGGTCACTTCATTGCATCCAGTGAGCTGGATAACGTTATTCGAATTTTACAGGTAAAGAAACTGATGCTCAGAGAAGTTGAGTAACTAGTCTGAAGTCACACAGCTAGCAAATAACAGCCAAGATAGAAACCTCTGGATTCTTTCTGACTCCTCCAAACCCTGCTTCCTCTACAGTTTCTTTACACTTTTGTGTAGTGCCCTGTACTGTATGGAACAAGTAGGGAGGAGTAAGAGCTTGGGTGGAGAGGCTGAAAGAGGAGAGATGTGTACTATGTTGGAAAGAACAGTAAACTAAGAGTCAGAATTTCCTTTTTTTTTTTTTTAGCCTTCTATCCAAATATCTCATTTAATTCTTATTACAACTTATTGGGCAGTTGACATAACTGTTTCCATCTTATAGCTACAGAAGCAGAGATTTAGATCAGTTTAGAAACTTGACCAGAGGGACTTTGCCATTAAGTGGTAGAACAAGGACCTGAGGCCACCCAAGTCTTTTTTTGTTTGGTTTGGTTTTTCAACATTATTTTATTTTATTTATTTTATCATTTACTTTTTACTTTTTAAATTTTCATTTATTTATTTAATACAGCAGGTTCTTATTAGTTATCTATTTTATAAATATTAGTATATGTATGTCAATCCTAACCTCCCAATTCATCCCCGCCCACCCCACCACTTTCCCCACTTGGTGTCCATATGTTTGCTCTCTACATTTGTGTCTCTATTTCTGCCTTGCAAACTGGTTCATCTGTACCATTCTTCTAGATTCCACATATATGAGTTAATATACGATACTTATTTTTCTCTTTCTGACTTACTTCACTCTGTGTGACAGTCTCTAGGTCCTTCCATGTCTCTACAAATAACCCAGTTTTGTTCCTTTTTATGGCTGAGTAATATTCCATTGTACATATGTACCATATCTTCTTTATCCATTCATCTGTCGATGGACATTTAAGTTGCTTCCATGACCTGGCTATCGTAAATAGTGCTACAATGAACATTGGGCTGCATGTGTCTTTTTGAATTATGGTTTTCTCTGGATATATGCACAGTAGTGGGATTGCTGGGTCATATGGTAATTCTATTTTTAGTGTTTTAAGGAACCTCCATACTGTTCTCCATAGTGGCTGTGTCAGTTTACATTCCCACCAGCAGTGCAAGAGGGTTCCCTTTTCTCCACACCCTCTCCAGCATTTGTTGTTTGTAGATTTTCTGATGATGCCCCTTCTAACTGGTGTGAGGTGATACCTCATTATAGTTTTGATTTGCAGTTCTCTAATAATTAGTAATGTTGAGCAGGTGTTCATGTGCTTCTTGGCCATCTGTATATCTTCTTTGGAGAAATGTCTATTTAGGTCTTCTGCCCATTTTTGGATTGGGTTGTTTTTTTGATATTGAGCTGCATGAGCTGTTGGTACATTTTGGAGATTAATCCTTTGTTAGTTGCTTCATTTGCAAATATTTTCTCCCATTCTGAGGGTTGTCTTTTCATCTTGTTTATAGTTTCCTTTGCTGTGCAAAAGCTTTGAAGTTTCATTAGGTCCCATTTGTTTATTTTTGTTTTTATTTCTATTTCTCTAGGAGGTGGGTCAAAAAAGATCTTACTGTGATTTATGTCAAAGAGTGTTCTTATGTTTTCCTCTATGAGTTTCATAGTGCCTGGTCTTACATTTAGGTCTTTAATTTTGAATTTGTTTTTGTGTATGGTGTTAGGGAGTATTGTAATCTCATTCTTTTACATGTAGCTGTCCAGTTTTCCCAGCACCACTTATTGAAGAGACTCTTTTCTCCATTCTATATCCTTGCCTCCTTTGTCATAGATTAGTTGACCATAGGTGCATGGGTTTATCTCTGGGCTTTCTATCCTGTTCCATTGATCTATATTTGTTTTTGTGCCGGTACCATATTGTCTTGGTTACTGTAGCTTTGTAGTACAGTCTAAAGTCAGGGAGTCTGATTCCTCCAGCTCTGTTTTTTTCCCTCAAGATTGCTTTGGCTATTCAGGGTCTTTTGTGTCTCCATACAAATTTTAAGATTTTTTTGTTCTAGTTCTGTAAAAAATGCCATTGGTAATTTGATGGGGATTGCACTGAATCTGTAGATTGCTTTCACCCAAGTCTTTTGAAGAGTTAGGACGTCTTGACTGAGGTCTTGTCTCTGCCACTTTCACCGCTTGTGACTTTGGGCCAGTCTCTCAACCTCTCTGAGCCTCAAATTAGTCACATATGTACCAAACACTTTCAATGGGACTGTAGTATCTGTCCAGCTCTGTGCACTGGACAGCTGCGTCTGGGGGCAAATGAGGTGATGTTGAGGTGGCAGCTGGGGAGCGTCATGGAATTGGTCGCCTTGCTGATACTGTGCTGTCAGTGGTAAGGGACTCATTAAGCCCCAGCCTGAAGGGTATACTGAGTTCAAGAGGCCTTGGCATCCCGGTGATAAGGAGGCCAGAGGAGATGAGGCTGCGTGACCGGAAGAACAAACACTACAAGGAAAGGCTTGGGCCCAGAAGCCCTAATGGGGTGAGAGTAATGACCAGGCCCTCATCCTGTGGCCAGGAGTGGGGTATCAGCTCAAAACTCAAAACTTCAGTAAACTGAAGTCACAGCCCTGGGGTGAGGTTCACCCTGTCGCCTCCAGGGAACTGGGCAGTTGTGCCTGAACTTGGCCCTTGCCCTCCCACCATACCAAGAGGTTATTCAACCAGGGTCACTGGGAGGCTCCTATAGACAGGAATCCAGCGCCAGGCCTGGGGTGGAGGGCGGCTGTGCAGGGGCCAGGGGTTGGATGATCGCCTAACTTACAATCTAGTAACGGGAGAGAGAAAACATACGTACCTTGAAATAAGTGACCGTGCAGTAATCAGCAATGTGGGAAGGCCTAGGGGGAGATGGCAATTGCCATGAGAGCCGTTGTCCTTCCTGTCACAGCAACACAGCCGGGGAGGCATTATGATCCCTGTTTTACAGAGAAGGAATGTCGCTGGCCAGGGTGTCCTGTTTGTTGCTCTCTGACCCCAGCACGCCTCTCCTTGCAACACAATGTTTTTAATAAAGTAGAGGAACTGTATTATTTGGGGGCTGGAAGCCCATCTAGTCCCATCTGTTGTTCCACACTGCCCTTAACCCAGAGATCATCCACTTCAATCTTGAACCCTTCCAGGAATGGGAAGCTCATTACCTATCATGATAACTTCCTTTTCCATCTCAGGCAGCTCTAACCATTAAGAAAGTCCTTCCTTTTAGGGAGCTCAAATGTGTCTCAGTCTTGTGCTGATTGCTCCTGTAAGGTTCATAGAGAGTGTCCTACCCTCACTAGAACTAGCAGGGAGGAGTCCACCAGGATCTGGGCTGAGCTTGAGGGCAAGGGGCAAAGGGCCAGATTTTCAGGTGACCTCTTGGCTGCCACACTGATTTCCCTGTGAGGTCTGGGTGGCTCTTTCAGTCCCAGCCTCAGCGTGGCCTCCTCTCTCTGCAGAATAGGGAGGAGGCTTTTCTGTTCCCTGCGTGCACACCCGTGCGTCTGACCTCAGAATGAAGTCAGCCCCTTGGTAAGCACAGGAGGAAAGGTCAGAACTCTGGATCCTCCAGATGCTCCACTTTGGCCCACAGTGTGTGCCGGTGCCTGATCTGGCCTCCCAGGTCCTCCAGCTGTCTGTCCACCACCCTCCAGAGCAAACACTCGGCACTGGCCAGCTGGCCCCCTCACTGCCGCCAGCCAGGCCAGGTACATGTTCACAAGTTCCCTCTATCCCTTCTTCCCTATCCTCACCCTGCCCAAGCCAGGGATTAACAACAGGGGCATCTTTAATGTGAATTGAATCAAGGCTTTACATCTGACTCCTGAAGTTTATAGGGAATCCAGGAATAACTTTGAAGAGACCACAAAGCAACATGAGACAAATCGCTAGAACATTTTCTTTTTTATTTTTGGCTGCTTTGGGTCTTCGTTGCTGCACGCAGGCTTTCTCTAGTTGCAGTGAGCGAGGGCTACTCTTCGTTGTGGTGCACGAGCTTCTCGTTGTGGTGGCTTCTCTTGTTGCGAAGCACGGGCTCTAGGTGCGCGGGCTCAGTAGTTGTGGCACACAGGCTCAGTAGTTGTGGCTCGCGGGCTCTAGAGCACAGGCTCAGTAGTTGTGGCACACGGGCTTAGCTGCTCCGCGGCATGTGGGATCTTCCCAGACCAGGGCTCGAACCCGTGTCCCCTGCATTGGCAGGCGGATTCTTAACCACTGCACCACCAGGGAAGCCCCTAGAACATTTTCTAAGACAACTGATTTGATGTCTTTAAGAAGTCAGTGTCACTAAGAAAAAAAAAAGTGATGAGAGTGTTCTAGATTTAAAGGAGTCAAAAGAGAGATCACAACCAAATGAAATACATGGGAGCAACACAGCTCCCAATCCTGGTTCAAAATATGGAATAGCTGTAAAAGGCATTTTGAAGAATTTTGAATATTGGCTGTTGGGTATTAGACGGTATTGAAGAGTTGTTGTTAATTTTCTTAGAGGTGGTAATAGTGATGTGCTCATGTAGGAAATCGTCCTCCTTTGTAGGAAATGTGTGCTGACATAATAAAGGGGCAGGGGCTTCCCTGGTGGCGCAGTGGTTGAGAATCTGCCTGCCAATGCAGACGACACAGGTTCGAGCCCTGGTCTGGGAAGATCCCACATGCCATGGAGCAACTGGGCCCGTGAGCCACAATTACTGAGCCTGCGCGTCTGGAGCCTGTGCTCCGCAACAACAGAGGCCGCGATAGTGAGAGGCCTGCGCACCGCGATAAAGAGTGACCCCCACTTGCCACAACTAGAGAAAAGCCCATGCACAGAAATGAAGACCCAACACAGCCATAAATAAATAAATAAATAAATACATTGTGGGGGAAAAAAAAAAAATAAAGGGGCAGGAGTCATCATGTTGGCAACTTCCTTTCAAACGATTCCACAAAACTAAAAAAAAACGAAAGAAGTAGGTACATAAAGGAACGCGTCAGCATGTTAATGATGATGAACCCAGGTGGTGGGTGATTATTGCACCACGCTCTCAACTATTTTTTTGCATTTTGAAGTATTTTATAATAAGAAGTTGGAGAGAACATAATATGGTCTGCAGAGTCAGAACAGGTTCCAGTGAATCCTGTGCCCGCTCGCTGTCTGAACTTGGGCTGGGTCTGTTTCCCACCCTGTGCAACAAGGACAGTCATAGTTCCCACCTCGCAGGGGATTGTGCACAGTGCCTGGTGCTCTGTCAGTGTCCCGTGCTGGCAGATGGCCTCTCCTCCATGAAGCCCACCCTGACCCCCCCTTCCCTGACCTCTCACTACCATAAACTTGTCAAGCATCCATTTCATCTCCTCCGTTGGCTTGTAAGATATTTGAAAGTGGAGTCCGTGTCTGATGCTTTCCAGACACCTCTCAGTAGACTGGGCCCACGGGAGCAGCAGCGATATCTCTTTGTTTGTTTATTTGTTTGTTTTTGCGGTACACGGACCTCTCACTGTTGTGGCCTCTCCCGTTGCGGAGCACAGGCTCCGGACGCGCAGGCTCAGCGGCCACGGCTCACGGGCCCAGCCGTTCCGCGGCACGTGGGATCCTCCCGGACCGGGGCACGAACCCGTGTCCCCTGCATCGGCAGGCGGACTCTCAACCACTGCGCCACCAGGGAAGCCCAGCAGTGATATCTTATCTTGAATGAGACCTTGTACCTACATATCTCATTTTGACTCTTAAAGTAACCAGATAAAGTCAGGAATTATGGGTCTCATTTTAGAATATCTCAGGGAGGCAAAGTGTCTTTCCAAGGCTAGTAGGAGTTAGAATGGGGAGTGAAAACCCAGGACTGCAGACTCCCAGTCCAGCGCTCTGCCAGGCATGCTCACTGTGGCTTCATGAGGGGTGAAGGTGCAGGCCCAGTGATAAGGGCCCCCTGGCCTCCTTCCCCCAGCCCTTCCAAAGGTCCAGCGGAGAGGTCAGCCCCAGCCTACCAGCCAATGGGGAGAGGCCAGCGCCGGGCTTGCTCTCTGATTTTCCTAGGATGCAGGCTGGGGCTGATCCCCACAGAGTTCTCTCTGCTGGACCTATGAGAGGGCAGTCAGATTCAAGTCAGGCCCTGAAGGCTAAGGTTGGGCTGGACAGAGAAGAGAGCGAAGGCATTCCAGGCCAGAACTGCACCAACAAGGAATAAGAGGTTGGAATGAGCAGGCTCACCACCTCCTTTGTCTTCAGGGGGAACTGTGGAATCTAGAATGTTCTACCTGAAAGAGACAGAGTGATTTCCAATACTCCCATATCAGACAGAATTTCTGCCGGGGCCATGTACCACCCAGACTATATTTTTCATGCTGTATTTTTCTTTGAATTAATTCATTGTTTTTAAACTTAGCTTTCTTAGCACTAATACCTGTGAAATCATGGACTTGGCATGCAAGTTATATTTTTTCTAATGCAAATTAAAAATAAATATGTAACTACTAAAATTTAAAACTTCATGTCTGTACCATGTAAAGGAACCATGAGTGACCACCTGGGGCCACACTCGGGGCATCACTGATGTAATCCTGATGAGGAATCGGTCAGAAGAGGATTGTCTGAGGTCACACAGCCAGAAATGACCAACCAGGCTCCCGTCCAGTGCACTTGCCTCTCCAGCGGGACTTTGTTCTGAACAGTCTTGGGCAGAACTCGGCAGAGAGGGGAGAGGGCAGGAGGGAAAGGGGTACAGTGTGGGCAGAGGCTGGGAGGTGGGGAGAGTAGGGCGGCTGGCCCTGTGGCGTGGAGAGTGGCCTGGGGGAGTGGAGAAGGTAGGTGGAGGCCCAGGGAGCTGGCCGGAAGGGGGCTTGCCTGCAGGATCCCTGCGATTCTCCTCATTGGATCTGAACTTTTTCCTTCGATACAGAGGCCTTTGTGGCTGAGCTCCTGGCTTTATTTAAATCAGATGCAAAGTTTTGTTTTCAGTCAAATTCCCAGGGTGGGTTTCCTGATTCTGTGGTGGTATTTCCTTTTGTTTTCCTCCCCTTGGAAATTTCCTCTGAAGAAATTTCTGTCCTGAGATGGGGTGGGAGACTCAAGGCATATCAGGAGATTTGGCAGGAAGCGGAGAGGATGGATAACGGCAGAGTTCGGGCCAGAAGGATGTTCATTTAATAAAGCGCTTATTGAGCGCCTACTGAATGCCACCCCCGGCTGGGAACTTGCCATTGCTCATTGAGCTTGGATGGATGTCTGCCAGGAGAGCACCTGCTTGAGCTCCATCTGCCATGGCGCCCATTCGTAGGGCTTCCCCATAGGAGGTGCCATCCTACAACAGAGCTGAACTCCACACACCCACACATGCACATCTGTGTATCTGTGTTCTCCACTGTGCACAGCACAGGACACTCATGCAGTAGGGGCCAGTCGGTCAGTCGGTTGGACCCTGTGTCATGGTTGGTGGGTGGTGAGGGGGAGGGAGGGGTACCATTCCATACCACAGAACAGAGGCTCTCAAACTTCCGCGTATTTCTGTCTCACTGGGGCAGGGAAGCTGGATTAAAATGCCTCTTTCTGGGCCCCATTCCCAAAATATTAGATTTAGTAGGTCTGGATTGGGACCCAGGAATCAACATTTCTAACAAATGATGTAGGAGGCTGAGAAACCTCCCCCATCCCGGATGATGTTTTTTTTTTTTTGCGGTACACGGGCCTCTCACTGTTGTGGCCTCTCCCGTTGCAGAGCACAGGCTCCGGATGCGCAGGCTCAGCGGCCATGGCTCACGGGCCTAGCCGCTCCACGGCATGTGGGATCTTCCCGGATCGGGGCATGAACCCGTGTCCCCTGCATCAGCAGGTGGACTCTCAACCACTGCGCCACCAGGGAAACCCCCAGATGATTTTGATACAGGTGATCTGTGGGCCACACACTGAGGAACCTTGCTCCAAAGGGTAATCTGGCATAAGAAAGAGTCTCAGATTTCCAATCAGGAGACCTGTGTTCATGACCCTTCTCATTAGCTGTGTGGCCTTGGACAAATCACTTTACCTCTCTGGGCCTGGTGGTGATGATGATGATGATGATGCTTATAATGATGATGGTGATGATGTATAGGACTAAGAGATTTCTGAGGGTGCACTTGTGGGTTAGAAGCCCTAGAGAGAATCAGAGGAGCGTATGATAATGGGTGGTCATTTGCCTTGCTGCATGTGAAGGGGCTGTCTTCCTCCCCCGCCCCTCATCATTAGAATTGTTCTCTCTCTTTGTGAACACCCAGCCCCCTCTGTCTGCACATCCCATACTAAATTAAGCACAGTTTCTGACACGCAAGAGGCAGCCCAGACATGTTATTGGATGGATGGTCTGCTCTATCACGTGGCACGTCCCTTGAGAGTGAAAGGATCCTCCATCCTTTCTGGAAGGTGGTGTGGACGTGTATACTGAAAGCAGGAAGTGTGTGGATGCCCTCATGCCAGTCTTTGCTCTTGTGGGACTTTATTGAAAGAGTAAGTCCTCCAGCACAGGGCCGGGCACCCGATTCTTGGAGGTTCCTTGCCCTCTCCCCGCATCCTGAGGGCAGATACTGGGCCTTCCTCACCTCCTGCATCCCTGAGACCTCCTGCACGTGCCCAGCTCAGCCCTTCGGGAAGCAGTCCCCGGCCTGACCCTTGTCTCTTCTGGCCCCTCACAGATGTCCTGGCGTCCGCAATACCGCAGCTCCAAGTTCCGGAACGTCTACGGGAAGGTGGCCAACCGGGAGCACTGCTTTGACGGGATCCCCATCACCAAGAATGTGCATGATAACCATTTTTGCGCCGTCAACGCCCGCTTCCTGGCCATTGTCACTGAGAGCGCGGGAGGTGGCTCCTTCCTCGTCATCCCCCTGGAACAGGTAGGCCCCCGTACCTCCGTAGGCCTGATTGCAGCCCCAGGGTGGAGAGAAGCCCTGCTTGGTCACTGTTGGGCCTGTTGCCCCTCTTTCTCTCTGGCCCCCACCTTTTACTTCCTCATCATGTGTCCAGTGGCTGTGCCTTCCCCAAGGCTTTCCCCAAGGGTCACCAGAGCAAGTGTAGGTGGGGGACCTGAGGAATATCCAAGGAGAGAATAAGTACATCCAGGAGATCTGAGATCTGTTCCCAGAACTTCCCCAACTTGGACAATTCACTTGCTTTGGGGTACATGGGGTTCCCATTAACCCCAAGGGATTGGATCATCTGATCTCCAAGGCCAGACCCAGCTCTACAATTCTGCGTTCTGGGTGTCCCTTTGGTTTGGAGCTGGAGGGGATGAAAACCCAGCATAGTCACATTGGGTGTCTGCAGAAATGACACACTCATTAAAAACAACATTTCAAACTCTTCATTGAGGAGCTAGAAATAATTTACCTTCTCCCTCATCCCCCACCTCTTCTTCCCTTTTGTGGCTGCCTTCGAGAATATAGCAAATTAAATGTGCGGAGCCTAGATCATGAAATTTTGAAGCTTTGCCATTCAGGCAGAGTCCCCGGAGGCCCGTGGGAGGTCACGTGCCTCAAGGAAAGTGCTCGCTGTCAGTCCCGCTTGTTTATGGCTGAGCTCTCCCTCCCTGGCCTGACTCATCACTCCCACCCTCCACCAAACACTCGGGGAGAGGAGGAGGTACATGCCCAAGGAAGCCTCGAAACCCTCCGTCAGCTGGTGGTGGAGGATGGATTTTTCCAGTCTCACCTGCCCACAGTGGGGGAGCACAGTTTTGGGAAAGCCTTAGGCCAGACCCTCCCTTCCACTAAAGGGGGCAGCTGCGGTGACAGGGACTCAGAGCCTGATGCACAGAGAGGTCGGAGGAGCTGTGGACTTGGGAGCAGGAAGTCTAGGTTCTATTTGGGCTCTGCCACTCACCGGGAGCGTGACCTTGGGCGTGTCACTTAACCCCTCTGCACCTTATTTTCTGTAATGGTAAAGTGGGCATCTTAAATCCCCTTCCACCTACATAGCGATGTTGGCATCAAGGAGGGTAATGGACAGAAAGCTCTCCGAGAACCAAACTACATGGTAAAGATGTTTTGGTGCTTTCTTGGAGTGTCATCAGCTCTGCTTGTCAACTTTGCAGTTGCCCACAACAGCTCTATCTCATTGGGAAGGATTCTGAAATGTAGCTTGCCTCCCCTCCTGAACCAGGGGGGCTCAGATATCTGTCCACTTGGGAACCAGCTTAGCTCCAGCTGCAGCAGGCAGGCCTACAGGTCCCCAGCAATGCATGGGCTGGTTCTTACTGGGGCTCAAGCCCATTGCCGGCACCCTGCCCTACTCCACTACATGGATTACAAAGGTCAACAGCCAATGCCTCACACCATGACAAAAATTAATTCCAGATGGATTGAAGATATAAATATTAAGAAATAAAAAGAAAAGCTGCAAGTGTATTAGAGGGAAATGGAGAGCATTTTTAAAATCATGCAACAAGGAAAGGATTCCTAAGCCAGATGAGAATCCATAAAACCATAAAGGAAATGATTAATAGATTAGAATAAATTTAGAGTAAAAGTTTTAAAGGCAGTTTTTATACTCTAGTGAGACATGTAAGCAAAATTAAAAGGCAAGCCACATAATTGAGGCAAGCCAGTATTTGCAATGTATGACAGACAAAAGATGCTTGTCCAGAATATATAAAGAGTTAAGAAAAATCAATAAGAAAAAGGACCCAATAGAAAATGGGCAAGGGATATGAATAAGCAATTCATAGAAGACAAAATATAACTTTTAGCCTACTAAGTAGAAAAAGATTTAAAAGAATCATAATTTTTGGTTTTGCCAAAGATGTCAGAGGGCAGGCACTCACATACACTCTCAGGACATTTGGTATATTTACATCTTACTCTTGGTGAGGTGTAAATAGAGGTAACTTGTCAATATCTATTAACATTTAAAGATGCGTGTCCATTGACCCAGCAATTCCACTTCTAGGAATCTATTCTACAGAAATACTCTCAAGTATATATTTTTGAAAGTCTGCAGCATTTTTGGACTCAACTTTTTTACAAACATCAATTTTTTATTGTTTCCTACCTACAGAAATAAAATTTCTCTCTCACATTGCTTAAAGCTTCTAAACTCTCAGTTTCTGTAATGGTACCAAAGAGTTTCATACCATCCGTAGCACTGCTCTAGAATATGATCAGCTTTTCTTTTTTTTTTTTTTTTTTTTTTTGCGGTATGCGGGCCTCTCACTGTTGTGGCCTCTCCCGTTGCGGAGCACAGGCTTCGGACGCGCAGCTCTCAGCGGCCATGGCTCACGGGCCCAGCCGCTCCGCGGCATGTGGGATCCTCCCGGACCGGGGCACGAACCCGTGTCCCCTGCATCGGCAGGCGGACTCTCAACCACTGCGCCACCAGGGAAGCCCTGATCAGCTTTTGTAACCACTTCATAGACAGCAGAAAAAAAAGGACTCTTTACAGAGCATAAGTCTTGCTCTCTATGGAAACATATGTATCTGTACACATATATATATATATTTAACGTGCACATAGCCTTTCAACTTTATTTGTTCACATCCTGTGATACATTTTGTTTAATTTGATTAATAATGGACTAATAGTGATGGCTCACCCTTCCAGTTGGTTTCTGTTGTTTTCTCTCATTCCAGGAAGTTTTCACTTTACGTAGGTACTCGATGATTTGTGCAGCGCTTTTAGAGTAGTAAAAATTGGAAGCAACCTATTTCAGTAAGGAAATGGGTGAACAAATTAGGGGCCATCCACAGAAAGGGGTGCTATGCAGTCACCAAAGGTGATGGTGTAGAGTAGTTGTTCTCAGGTGTTCAGCCTCAGAATCACTACGCTCTTAAACATTTTTGAGAACCCCAAAGAGCCTTTACTTATATGGCTATATCTATTAATATTTAGCATATTCAAAATAAAAATGAGGAATTTCAGGGAATTCCCTGGCAGTCCAGTGGTTAGGATTCTGCACTTTCACTGCAGAGGGCCCGTATTCAATCCCTGGTTGGGGAAATAAGATCCCACAAGCCGCAAAAAAAAAAAAAAAAAAAAAAAAAAAAAAGGAATTTCAAAAATATGCATTTGTTAATTCACCTAATAATAAACCCGTTTTACGTACTCCCAAAAAACATATTTTTATGAAAAATAATTATATTTAAAAATAATTATATTTTCCAAAAATTAATAATTATATTTAAATTATATTTAAAATATTAATAATAATTATATTTTAAAAATATTAATATTTTAAATAATTATATTTAAAATATTAATAATTATATTTAAAAATAATTATATTTTCCAAAAAAATTAATGAGAAGAATGACATTTGCAAATCTCTTTAAATTAGTCTGGCTTAATAAAAGATGGCTGGATTGGCATATCTGCTTCGACATTCAGCCTGTTGCAATATCACACATCATACAGCCTCTTGAAAACTCCACTGTACAGTCCTGAGAGAATGAGTGAAAAGGCAAATAATGTCTTGTATTATTATGAAAATAGTTTTAACCCAACAGACTCCCTGAAAAAGTCTTAGGGATCTCCACGGGTTCCCAGACAATACTTTTAGAACCACTGATGCAGGGGAATATTTAATGAGAGAAAAATTTATCACCCATTGTTAACCGAGGGAAAAAAAAGGTAAAATCTGATTAATCCCGTTGAAAAGTATCTATCTAGCCATCCACCTATTTGGAAAAGACACCTAATTTTTTTGGCTGCGTTGGGTCTTGGCTGCTGCGCGCAGGCTTTCTCTAGTTGTGGCGAGCAGGGGCTACTCTTTGTTGCGGTGCGTGGGCGTCTCATCGCAGTGGCTTCTCTTGTCGCAGAGCACTGGCTCTAGGCGCATGGGCTTCAGTAGTTGCAGCACACGGGCTCAGTAGTTGTGGCACACAGGCCCAGTTGCTTCGCAGCATATGGGATCTTCCCAGACCAGGTATCGAACCCAAGACCCCTGCATTGGCAGGCAGATTCGTTGTTTTGTTTTTTTTTTATGCTTATTTTATTTATTTATTTATTTGTAAAACATCTTTATTGGAGTATAATTGCTTTACAGTGGTGTGTTAATTTCTGCTTTATAACAAAGTGAATCAGTTATACATATACATATGTCCGCATATCTCTTCCCTCTTGCATCTCCCTTCCTATCCCACTGCTCTAGGTGGTCACAAAGCACAGAGCTGATCTCCCTGTGCTATGTGGCTGCTTCCCACTAGCTATCTATTTTACATTTGATAGTGTATATATGTCCATGCCACTCTCTCACTTTGTCCCAGCTTACCTGTCCCCCTCCCCGTATCCTTAAATCCATTCTGTAGTAGGTCTGTGTCTTTATTCTCGTCTTGCCCCTAGGTTCTTCATAACCATTTTTTTTCTTTTTTAGATTCCATATATATGTGTTAGCATACGGTATTTGTTTTTCTCTTTCTGACTTACTTCACTCTGTAGGACAGACTCTATATCCATCCACCTGACTACAAATAACTCAATTTCGTTTCCTTTTATGGCTGAGTAACATTCCATTGTATATATGTGCCACATCTTCTTTATCCATTCATCTGTCGATGAACACTTAGATTGCTTCCGTGTCCTGGCTATTGTAAATAGAGCTGCAATGAGCATTTTGGTACATGACTCTCTTTGAATTATGTTTTTCTCAGGGTATATGCCCAGTAGTGGGATTGCTGGGTCATATGGTATTTCTATTTTTAGTTTTTTAAGGAACCTCCATACTGTTCTCCATAGTGGCTGTATAAATTTACATTCCCACCAACAGTGCAGGAAGGTTGCCTTTTCTCCACACCCTCTCCAGCATTTACTGTTTGTAGATTTTTTGATGATGGCCATTCTGACCGATGTGAGATGACATCTCATTGTAGTTTTGATTTGCATTTCTCTAATGATTAATGATGTT